CCAATGACTGATTTCTCGATCAAACAAGTTTAGCAAACAAGTTTAGCACTTATTCTTCAAGAATACTTTCAACTTGAACCATAATTGAACAACGTGTGGAATGCAAGGCTACAAGATGGTAATCGATTTTGTCTCTTTTTTTTTCCAAAAAATCTTGGAGGAGGAAAAGAGAAGTGATAACTAAAACTTTTTCAAGAAAGGTACGTTCCTTTCTATTTTTTTTTCTTCCAATCTCTTCTTTTTCTATTAAAACTCTTGCCTCAAAAGTTTAATCAAAATGAAACACCTTTGAATCAATATTGACCATCTATTTAGAGTTATGGAAGCATCTAACATGCTCCATAATTATCAACATTAAAATTAAAAAAAAATTATTTAATTCTTTAATTATCATTTATAATTCTTGATAAAATACAACTCCTTATTGAATAATAACTCTTATTTTATTATTATCCATCTTTATTTAAAAAGAATTAATAATAAATAAAAAAGTGAAAGTCAAATAGGGAGTCTCCTTTTATCAACATGGATGTCTAAATTTATTTCGTAAGAATCCTCTTAACATTATCTTAATTTAAGACAACTCTTATCTTTAATTAAGATAAAAATATTTTATCTTATCTAAATTGAGACAAACATGTTTTCTTGTCTAGATTAAGATAAAAAATATTTTTCTTGTCTTAAATTAAGACAAACATATTTTCTTGTCTAAATGAATACCAAACATGTTTTTTTGTCTAAATTAAAACAAACATGTTAAAGCTGTCATTTTTGTTCTAAATTAAAACAAACATGTTAAAGCTGTCATTTTTGTACACAATATAATTAATCAAATTAAAATATGCATTCCAACTTAAACAAGTTGAATTTCACGAAGCTAATGGAGAATCTATTTGGACATAGATATTCCAAGCTCCAATAAACTTGTTAAGAATAACCCTAAACCCTTAATCTCATTAAGAATAATTCAAGCTTATTAATCATGTAATCACTCCACCATAGATTCATGATTGCACTCTTGGATTAACTATAATTACAAGAAAAAATTTAATACTTGATATTAATTATTAGTTATCCAATCACAAACCTTATATTGTGAACCCTCATAACCATCTAATGACAAAATGCGAGATTATCGTTTTACCCTTTATGTCAATTTTGTCCCTTAGTCTTAAATTTCATTCAATAAGTGTGTCAATACTCTAGATCTAATCTTTTGAGTGTCCCGATGTGATGAGTAGCTAATTCATCAATCCACCAAGCCTAAATTAATCATTAATTTTCTTAAAATCACTAGAAGTGATGTCAATGTTATGAACTTCATTATTTGGATATATGTTCCTAGATGTTTATCTCGATTATAATCTCAAAATACGGAGTTTAGATCAACACTATATGATGATCATGCTCACGAAAAATCAAAGATTATAAGGAGATTAAACACGAGTCCACTATCCATCAGGATTTCGGTTCTACTATCAGCAAATGCATAAGTGTGAGATCAAGATTTAGGTAACGCTAAAACTTAAATTTGATTCTCACATGATTCCAGTTTATGTTATAGTGTCATTACTCAAAGTTAACCATTTTGATGATTTGAGACTCATTAATCCCTTGAAATGAATCACATTCTTTTCGTTGGAAGTAATCTGTACACTACAACCTTAACACAATAAAGTGACCAGCTTTATTATATGACTGTGAATAATTTTTAAATTCAATTAAAATATATGTCTCCTATGTATGACTCTTCATACAAATGTATTTTAATATCTCAATAGAATCATAGTACCTTAATAACTAGATAATGAATGCTTACTTGAAACAAACTCGTTGCCTTATTATCATAATGTACTTTCATTACAACTAAATTTAATGAAATTCAGCATGATAATGTACTTACTTTTTAGAGCACCATATTCTTAAAATTCTTAATATTGGGGAGTAAGAATGATCATAATTTCAAAAATATATATTAATATTAATCGGAGTAACATTGTAATATGTTTACACCTGTTCATAGTGGAGCTCCGAACATGAGAAGGAAAGAGAACATGCAAATCAATGAAAACATCAAAAGGGACTAGCTTACTCTTAACTTCAACTTCATCAACATCAATAGACTTATCATCAAATTCATCACTACATTCAAAATCACATGATTCTTCTTTAGTCTCAACTTCAAAAGTCTTTTCCTTTTCGACTAAGTTAAGTTTTACTCTCACATTTGTTTCTCTCTATAAAAAGAAAATATAATGAGGAAATGCATTTAAGAAAAAAAAAAAGAAGTAGAAGAAGTAAGGGATGAACCTACTTTTCGATGCATATGTTTTGTTTGATGAGTAATAGCGTAATGAGCATCATCTTCTTCTTTATTTACATTTTTTCTTTCTGAGAGAAATCAAGCGTAAGGATACATCAGTGTTACTTATAGAAAAAGTGTAGAGACAAGCTCTGGGATTAGTCAAAGGCACACTAAAAGATCTCCATTCTTCAACACACTCCCTCCAATAAGTAAACTATCTAGAAGTGTGGATACCAACTCTATCAAAAGCTGGGACAATATAACTCTTAAGTTTATCTAAATGGAGTTGAAGTCTTACCCTGAGATATGAAGAAATGTAAGAAGAAAGCTAATACTTGAAGAAGAGTCAAGCGGAGTTGGTTAGTCAAACCTAAATTGGCATGCCACTTTGTAAGGAAAATATACCTCGATAGAAAGAAATTTTCTACCTCCACCTTAATTTTCTTCTAGAGTGAAAGTAAATTGCCCCCATGCTATAATTATAGTATAAGAAAAAGTGCTCCATCTTGCAAGAATAGCAGGCCATACATTCATCTTGTTCTTTCTACGAATATTGAGCTTGGAAGTGACATGTACAGCTTCAAGTATTCTAGCAAATGAGAGAAGTTTAATATAAGAAGGATTCTTCAATAACTTATTTACCCACTCATCCAAACATTGAACAAATTAAGAATTGGAGCCTAACTTAGTAACAGAAAAAGGAAACTTGCCATGCTCAAACCTGAACTTTAGAATAGATAGTCCTGGAATACCATTTCTTTTATGAGAAGGTGTTTCTCAGCATAGACGATTCCAATCATATCCAACAGGCTCAAAGGGATGTTCGTCAAACTGTCTAGCACAAACTTCTTCCCAAAAATGATATTCTCCTCGATCTTTAATAACATCTTCCCAGTTTTCAAGGACTAAAGGAACTTCACCACTCTTTCCTACTCTAATTTTCTTAGGGGCAACTAATTCGAAATCATTATTCTTCTTGTAACACCCCGTACCCACATATATAAGACAATAGGACCTTATTGATGGGACGAGGGTCAATTGAAACTAATTTAAGTGTGAAAGAGTAGAGATGAGTGGAAAAGAATATCTCGAAATAAAATATTTCACACGTGAGGAAATAATAATAAAATAATAATATTTTATCAAAGATGAATTAACGAGTTAAAATTTATGATTTGGAACTGAACTGTGACAAAGTGGGACACTTTGATATTCAAAAAAACAAGTCGAAATAAATAAATATTAATTAATAAAATAATATTAAAATATTAATATTTTATCTGTTATTGAAATTAGTTACGAAGGAGGACTATATGACTAATCTAAGTAGGAGAGAAGAAGTAAGAAAGAATTTAGAAGAAAAACAATGTAAGTAGGGCTCGCGTGCCTTTATTAACTAAAGCAAGAGGGAGTAAGTATATATTTAAATATTATGATGATATCTTGGTGAAGTGTGAATTTGATATTTTATTTGTACAAGTGTAAAGGAAGAAAGATAGAAGGAAATTGGAATCAAGAAATGATTGAAGGACCAAATTGAAAAGAATGAAAAGTTTGGAAGGTCAAATGGTAAATAATAGAAAATTGATGACTTATGTGCAATTTCAACATTTGAAATTAAATGGAAAATTAACTAACCAAAGAAAAGTAGATCATGAAGGAAGATGGAATATGCATGTAACAAATACAATTACTTGCAAAGATATGCATGCAAGGGTGTACTTATAGTGGGGAACATATGGGACCCTCACCATGTGAGAAGCATAAAGGAAAAAGACAAATAATTAAGATAACACATGCATGTGGATATTTAAATTAAAAGAATGCATGGAGGATTTATACATGATGGACACTTGGTGACAATTAGACTAAAAGAAAATAAAACATAATTGTATGTAATGTCATTGGCCAAAGAGGAGGCCAAATGGAATTTAAGGTGGGAAAGTCGCATGAAAGACCATTGGACACAAGTGGGGTGCAATTAAGTGTAAATAAATTAAAGAGTGAATACGGATAAGTAAAGGAGGATTTTTAACCAATGTGGAGGAAAGGAAATTTGTGCATCAAAACCCATTTGGTTGGCAAAATGGCCAAATAAAAATTAAAGGCCAATGTGTACATGAAATTTGATTGGTCCAAGAGGGTGGCCATATAAATACCAATAATTGAGGGTACAAGAGAACAGTGAATAGGCTTTGGTGAGATTCAAGAGTCAGTCATTTAGAGAAGAAAAGAAAGAAGAGGAAGCTTGAGAAGTTTCGCCTGAGAAGAAGAAAAAGAAAAAGAAAAAGAAAAAACGATCAAAAGGGGGCTCGATTTTGGGAAAAGATCCAAAGAAATCATGAGGCTTCCTTCCTTTACCTTATAGAAGTCTTGACATTTTACAACCCAAAGAGTCTTCAGCTTTCAATAGAGAAACCGTGGAGTGTTGGTGGACATGTAAAGCTCGGTTTCAAGATACAAGAGAAATAAGGTAAGGATTGTGGTTTTAGTTTGAATGATTTTTGAAAATGGGTTGGTAATCATAAGAAATGTTTTGTGACAGCAAAGATTAGCTTGATTGGAGAAGATTTAGTGACATGCAAGCCATCAAACACGTGGATACTTGATGGATTCAAAGTGAAAGAGAAATGGTAAGCATAATATTGTGTTTTAGGGCCTACTGTTGGTAAATTACTAAGGAAATAATTTGTGAATAATGTTGGTAGCTTGATGATTAAAGCTTTGGAGGAATGTCGGAGTACATGTGCGGATCAAGCAACCTTTAAGGTAAAAATGAAAAATGCTTTAAGTATAGTTCAAAGATCTTGAGTAAATGGCTATTATTGTGTTGATTGGAATCTTGAAAGGCACATTATGAAGAATAATGGTTGTTGAAAGAAT